AGCATAATGTTTTCTAGCCACTGGTTTACGGCCCCTGCATGTGGGAAAATAGGTCGTCGTGAGATGCCACATCCTATTTGGATTAAAGGTCCTTTTCATGTGGGGGGGTTATGGTCCTCAAGAGTCTATACATGTATATGATATGGCAGTCTAAGAATAGCACCTCTCAGGCACCTGGCAGCTTGCACAGGTGTTCATGTGTTGCTGTTCGCAGCCCCCCGCTGGTGCAGGGCTGACCCAATATTCAGCCATATTCAGCGAATCTGCACACGCCACACGCTGCCTATCATTGGAAGAATGCTTTTATGGATTCGTTTTGGGGCAAGCAACACCTGGAACTTCATATATTATTTTGATGTCCCTGCCTTTTCTTGAAGCCTATACCAGCGCATCCTGCAAAGGCTTGCAGCTTCTGCAACGAAAAAACACCAACGGTGCACACAAACGTTATAAGCACGCCTTTTCCGGAAGCGGAAGATCGGAAGATGTGGATTGCATAAGATGTGGAAGCATGGTTAGACTTTCACCACACTACCACACCTCAAAATAAATTACAAAACTCTTCGAACGAAAAGCGTCTCTGCAGTTGAGACTCTCATCCATGGTCATCAAGAAACCGTTCTTCTGATCCTCCGACGCGTGATTCGATTGAAGGACTGAGGTCAATCTGAAGAGTGGCCTCGTTGGCCGTGACCGCTATGTTGCTGCGGTGGAACCTTTCATTAGGTTCACCTAGCGATGGCCTCCAACCTACTAGCGGGCGAATGGCCTCCAACCTACTAGCGATGGCCTTGAACCTAAGGGCGATGGCCTCGAACCTAACTGTTTAACATCTGATTTACAAAATAGTTCCCCTTTCATCAAACTATCATGAAAGCTGAGCAGAGAAAGGTATCTTGGGTGTTTGTCTGAGAGAGGGCCATAAATATAAATGGCAACAAACTGTGGCACCATGAGCAAATCCAAAACTATACATCTGGCACAAGTTCTTGCCACTCCAAACAAGTTAACCCGAGAACGCACTAGCTAACCACAAGGGAAACGCAATAGCACAAGAAAGTTTCATGCAGCTCCCATACTGAAAGTCCTAGTGAGGAAACAACTAGCCCCCATGCAAATGTAGTGAAATTGCCCTTTGCATTGCCAAAGCAACAGCAACATAGAAAATCACCCAAGCTAAACGCGGGTTGGTGCGACCTGTGCTGATGGGTTCCCAAGCTAATTCTGATAGCTGATGAGTCTGGGTGCGACTAAGTGGTTTGGGTGTAGCTGTTGAGTCGGTGTCCAACAGGTTTTCACCATTTGCAGACTCACCACTCTCACCACTCTCATCACTCTCATCATGCGCATTTCCCGCTCGCAGGACTCACCTCCCCGTCGCAGTTCTCGAGCTTGGAGGGCTCCGAGCACAGCTCCACGCTGTGGACGTAGGCGTTGGCTGTCTGGGCGATGGCCTTCTTCAGCGGCACCATGCCCATGGGGTTGTTGCCTTGGCGCCACCAGTGCAACGAGAAATGAGTGAACAGGTGGCAAATGCTTGACACGAGATGTAGAATCTTTGTAAACTGCAAAGCGTTCGCAGATGCTTTTATATAGTGGATCGCACAATGCCTGTTGCTTTAATAACTAAATCTGCCCGTGGCTTGCTATCTGTGTAAATAAGAGGTATGGCTCGCGTCACATATCATGGTACCACTGATGGGTTCCTTTCTCAACAATCACTTGCATGCTCCAGTTCTTCAGCTTCGAATAACAATCTCCAGTTCTCGGGGGTCACAAAACTCGAACCTCTCAGCCGACTGGCCCAGAACCATGCTGGGCCCGAGCGCTTCATGTATGCAAATTATATGGCCTGCATTTGCTGGCAAACTGGGTGGTAAATGTAGGCCATCTATCTAGCTGCTCACAATGGAGCTTCTGGCTGGGATACGAGCACCGTACTGAGCACCGTCCAATCGCCATCCCCATCATCCCCGTCGTTTTCACCGTGCGTTCAAGAGGCCAAAATCGCCCATGCCGTGCATCATCACCTGCTTTGGTGGCTTTAAAAAAGGACCAAGAGAGGTTAAGTGACCTTATAGGACCCTACTGGGGTACCTATGGGATAGTCTATAGGGTCAGTCAACCTCTGTTGGTACATATGAGGGCATTTCATTTGCGAACAGGAGGGGATGGAGGCAGGGAAACTGTGAACAAGAGGCAGTTCAAAGCCAAGCTGTGAAGAGCACCCCTGCAATCGTCCAAGACCTTTGGAACAGTTTTGAATTGGTGTACACTGTACACAATGTGTTTCAGGGTCAGCAAAGCTTGTGCGAACCGACTCTGCGTTTTTGATGGATGGATATGACATCTGTACGCCAGAACTTTTTTTGCAGCAGTTTCCTAAGAACGATTGGTTCTGGTTGCGCATGTCACAGCAAATCACCGAAAAAAATCAACACTATTTAACATCTGGTGTTGTACAATCGGGCTTGGTAAGGAGCGGGTGAAAGTGAGATTCAATCCTCATCGGCGACCTAGCACTCTAGCCTTTTTTCCGTGGCCGCGACTTGCTGCATCATGTGGAACTTACATAGTCACTGGATTTTCATCACACTCATGTGCTGCTGCACCACCACCTCCAAAGCAGCAGCAACAGCAGCAGCAACTACACTGAAAGGGGCTAGGATGTTCATATTCATCATGCAATACATGTCACCCTCCAAACAAGTGAGGGACCGGGATGTGTCGTGACAAACCATGACCATATCGAACCATGCATTCAAGACTGCAAAGTGTTTGCCTGCAGCAAAAAATATCAAAAATCACTCCTCCCCCAAACATCACCCATTTACTGGAGGCCATTGCGATTAGCATGGAGGATCAGCATGGATCCCTATAGGCTACTAGGGTGGAGGCCATCGTTATAGGCTACTAAGAGGGTGGAGGCCATCGCTACTATGTGGAGGCCATCGCTATTAGGTTGGAGGCCATGGCCCTTCTTGCCGCAACTGCCCGAGTCCGTTGAATTCGCCGTGTCACCACTGGCAAGCCACCCGCAGCAGCGCGCTCGAGGGGCAGTGGTGTTGGCTCATCCTCGAAGTGCAGGACGGCACTGAAGCTTTCGAGGCTGGCAGCTGCCAGGGGCAGCAGCACGGCAGCACCTCGGATATGCTTGTTGAGATACGCGGTTAAGAGTGGTGGTGGGAGCAAGGCATTGCAGGATGGAAACTGCTTGAGACAGGAGTTGAATTGGCCATTGGTGAGCTCGCTCATCTAAAAGTTCACACCTTGAGTCCACCATGGTACAACCATTGTCTCCCACACAGCGACGTTTCTGCGCCTTGTGATCAAACTGATTGCTTGAACCCGAGTCTGTTGGGCCCCCAGTTCTGGAAAAAGCCGAAACTGAAACCCTCGCAGCTTCCCAGGTGGAGCGCTTTGGATCATGCGATTTAGATCACGTTGGACGCTTAGGACTCACCCACATGATGGGATAGAACTCACCGTCGAAAAAGACCCCACGTGGACTCCGCCAATGATCTCTTACACAGAAGTACATCAAATCCCTGCAAAAGGGGCCTATCTAGTAAGGTGTATCAAGGTGTGAGGCACGTACCTAGCTCGGTGAGGGCCTACCTCGCTCATGGAGGCACTGTGTTTCTTGGATGTTGACGATGACTGCCCCACAAAGCACAAAAATCCTTTAAACATAAAAACCAATAGATCTAAAGCTATCATAATTGCTCCTTGGAAGGCTGTTGTCCTCCACAAACAGGTGACAGTCAACTGCAAAGCAAGGGTAATACACCAAGTTTTATACTGGAGGCTCTTAGTTCGCTCACCGCTGGAGTGGGCAAAATCACATAGGTGCTCAAACATTCCCACCGGAAGCCGCGTGTTGCGGCACTGAATCTGCAGAACAATAATTTGCTTGACCCGGATGGAACAAACTCGAGTTGACCAAAAGGATGACCAAACAACATTCCAAATACCAAAAGCAACAGCCAACACATAGATGCTTCAATTCACTAATTTGTTTCTACTATAAACATATAAAACCATATGTTGATATATATAATATATAGATATATATATATACCTGGAACCCATTTGACCTCTGTTTTGATAGGAAAAGACCATATGAAATGGGTGGTTTGTGGTCCAACATAGAGGTCATTCAGGTTCTAGGTATATATATGTGTGTTCATTCTCAGGGCGGTGCCACCACTGTGACACCCGATCCGTTCGAGAGCTCGGTCGCCATCTCTTCGCACCGGAAAGCCCAGACGACACCACGGGGTCTTCACGGTCTTGGCCGGTGGGTCTGAAAGGGAGAATTCTGGCATTTTGGTGGGTCTTTTGTTCTTTTCTGCAGACTTGGAATCCAGAATTGGAGAAAAAGCAACTGGTCAATGACTTCGGCTGCGAGAGAGTGTTTGGATAGGGCCACATGGTGAGTCATCAACTTTGGGGGGGGGCAGGCCAACCGTGCAGCCCGAAGCACGGAAGACCATGGCGGCTTTGAACTCGCTCAAGGCGTAGACGTCGGAAAAGGACAGGGGTTCCACGTGCTGAGCAGAAACAGCAACGTGTGAGGATTGAGCTTTACTCAAACGGCTAGTCTTCAAACAGAGCTATATGCAAGAGAGATACACCACAGATTATTGTGAACATATTCAAAGTGCAATGGCCATGTCATGTGATCTTTACTATCTTCTTGTGGCGCAACAGTCACACTTTGGTGTCAGAGAGCTCAAGCTAACTATGGATCATCCCTGTTAGATTTCTTGCTCTGCAAAACGAAATGACACCCAGTCCTCCCAGCTGGTAAATCATGGAAAGCACGAGCTGGGGATTTCATGGGATTGGTCAGATATCCGAGCCTCCTATGCCAAACATGAACAATCTGGTCTGACGCCTCACTGTCTATCTTGAGGCTTCCACCGGTCGAAATTTAGTCTGCCCACGGGCCGCAGTCCCATCCGTAGAACGCCACCGTTCATGGTGGAGGCACGATCCTCTTCGTCCAGGAAGAACCCATAGAGCCATCCCTCCCCGTCGTTGGCCGACACGTAGACAGTCCTCGAGCGCCAAAGAAGAAGACACTGCACCAGCCAACAGCACAACTGAGCAAGGGAGCATTCTGATTGCAAAACTCTGGTGGATGAAGATTTTGGGGAAATGGGAGAATTCCAGGTGGATGTATGAAATGAGTACTCATGTAACACATGTTTTTCATGGGTCCATCTTCATACTCATGTTGGAATCAAGGTGAAGACGATGAGTATGAAGATGTAGCAAGCCGCTTCCTTAGCCTTTTCTGGCCATCCAGCCCCCCTCGACCCGAAAAAGGCCCCCGGGCTCTCCGGACCAAAGCAGTAAGTTCTCCTCCGAGCGCAGATGTGGGGCAAATGACGAAACACTCCTCTGGTGTGTTGCTTTGTGCTTTGTAATCGTCCTCCATTCTTGTGTTCCTGAGATGTGATGTAGTGCATGTTTACGATATTTGTGCGGACAACTGGGCAGAGATTATGTGAGAGAGAGTTTCTCTTGGAGAATCTTTGGAGAACGTTGATGTTTCCATATTTTGGGGTGGTCTCGGTCACAATGGCCTCTCCACCTATATACCCCCAAAGACAAAAGCCGAGAATCCTCAAGAATGCAGAAACAAAAGAGTCTTCAGCAGCACCTCATTTGGACCGAGGCTCAAAATGCTCGATGACTCAAGCTCCGGGGGGTTAGCAAAGAACCACCCGTGGCTCCCCGTGGGTTCTTCTTGTGGAAGACCGGGCCCACGACCTTCAGTCTCGGCCGTCCTGCCCGCCGGCTTGGAAGTCCCTCTGAACCCGTGCCAACTTGGGCCTCGTGAGGTGTGGCGAATGAACAGGGGTGAGAACAGAGCTGGGGATTTGGTCAAGCACAACTCAAGTCAATTGGGAGATTCAATAATATATTATATAGATATATAACCAAAAGAAGCAACTGAACAGAACAGGATTAACGAAGCCAAAACCAGAAGTCTACCAACAATTTTGCTTTGATTGTTAAAACCTTGCATGTCAACCGCCACCTGCCACCAACCAAATCTCCGGCAGCCAAGCAAATCAAGGAAATTCAGGTCTTGAAAACGGCACTTGGACACCTAAACCAAACCAGAAACAATAGACTTTTTATATAGCAAGGGATTTTAGGATATCTCAAGCATACCGTCTATATTGGAACAATCATGGCACGAGTTTCAACCACGCCGCGGGTCGTAGCTGACATAGTTCTGCAGAATAGGCTCAGGTGCCTCCTGAAGGCGAAGAAGGCAAGGATTGGCAAACATCAAACATGTTTTATAGTATAATGTATAGACTCTTGATTAATAAGCCCACCCACTTGAATTGAAAGTCCTTTTCAAAGGGGTATGTATTAATCAAGAGTCTACATTAGGGCTCCAACCATATCCTCAGGTTTGGTGGTTAGACCCCCCTGGCACCCTAACCACCTTCGGAACGGAGGTAGTTGGAGCCCTAGAGTATAAAGGAAGACCACGCACAAAAACGAAATAACCAAGGAATGTAAGACCCCCTATGACCCCCTGGCCTCGCGAGCTTTGTAAACTAACGAGATGCACATTATACATCCATCAAGAACCCGTTCTTTGTTTGCCTTTCTCACGCGGGGTCTTCGGGCCCACGGTCTGGTGGGTCCTCCAATGGCATCGCCTCTGCAGAGATCAACTGAACCTGTGAGCTGCATGGATCAACAGCTAACCACGAAGCAAATGGGATATTAAAATTAGTTCAAGGAACATAAGAGTCCTATCCCGGAATCCCTTATCTGTTGAAACATATCCACAAGTCACTCAGCTCAGGGTGACATCTCCTTCATTCTAACACAGGCGGCTTTCGGAAAGACATTGCAAACATGTCGACAGAAATCCAGATTGTTGACTGCCGATGGGCTGTCACGCCTCTGAACGGCGTTCCGCATCTTTGGCAACGGTGGGGCGTGTTTGCCCGAGAGCTGGAAAACGGACATGGAAAGCACGCAGCTACTGTCAAGAAGAACAAACCAACAACCAACAAACATCCAAGAGGAGGCTGGGTTGGGGTTTGCACAAGAACAACAAAGCAACAAGAGTGTTCTCTTGTGACCTGGCCAAGTAGACCCTACAAACTGTCGTTGTATGAGTTTGCCAGAAGTAGCAAATCCCCGGGTCCACTGGTTCACATGGTCATGAATCTCTTGCAAGCCATAGTCCAGTTGATTAGGAAGCCGTGCCAACAAAAGCAGTTTGGTCCTTCCCTGAAACAGTTTAACATGTTTTAATGATGTGTATATATAGTAGTACCTTATATATATAAAATACACTTAGCTATATAATGTTATATAATGTGTTATATATAATATCTGATGTTGTATGTATCCTAACTTATCCTATTGATGCATGTTCTTTTCTTGCTCATCAGCGTGGTTTCCCCACCCAACAAACCAGGCACAAAAAGCACATGCCCAACCGAGACCACTGCTTCTTCCGTGCCTTGAAGTTCTTCCCCGAGACCACTGCCGTCAGGCTCTGCCTTGGCGAAGCCGGAAGCAAGCGTGGAAGAGTTCCATCTCAAAACCAGAGTCTTTGTGGATCCATGAACAGACTATACCACTATACTGTCACTTGGAGGCCTGTCAGTTGGATGCCAAATCCGTTCCGGTTGCGTGACCTTCGAGCACGGCAGCTCGGCTCGCGCCTCGTTCCGGTGCCGGAGCTCGGACGCTGCGGCCCCGACCCGCTGGGAGACCCGAGCTCCGGCCACTGGTCCCTCACGTCGAAGGCAACGCCCAAGGGCTCCGAGTTGTGGGCGAAGCCGATCCGCAACCTGGGACGGCAGCGCGGTGGGGGAGGGGGTGACCGGGGGGGTGACCGGGGAAGAGGCACTCATCCGTTTGGGCCTTGGGGGGGGGGGGGGTTTGGCAAGGTTTGGATGGACATCTGGCTGGCAGATGGCACACATGACGTGATTGCTGGTAGGCACTTAGTAGGTGGAAAACACGGACTCAGTGAAGCAATGAACTCCCATCGTGCCTGCCGTCTTCCCGCTCGGCCTCTCCAGTGCTGAAGGGGCCAAAATGTGGCGAACACATTAGGCCTATCTGATGCCTAGTTAGGGTGGGCAATGATAGTTGGAACCAGGACGTGTTGGTAGGGAAGCTTATAAAATATTTTAGTAAGCTTAAGCATAATACTGTTCGATATATAAGTATATTGTACGGACAAGAATGGTTCAATATGGTCCAATAATGGTGTTTTCTAACTTGTGGCTCTAGCATGCTCTAGCTGTCCTTGTTCAATGAAACACCCAGTCCATTGAATCTGGCACGATCGGCCAGAAGAAACTCTACTCGCCTGCCGTCTTCCCCTCTTTCCCACATGCCGGAGTATACACGGGAGTAGACAAACAATCTTCAAATTCAAGGATATTCCAATGTTCAACTAGCCAAGGAGATAGCGACCCCCCAAAATCTTCCGTCGCTTTCCGAAGCTGAGCGCGTGTGTCAAAGTGGTGACCAGGTTTAAGGATTTGAATGCTGTTTGGTGTAATGGGATCCAAGTCCTCTGTTTGTTAGTTTGTTGGGGCCCTTGCGAACCAACTCCATTGGAGGGGACCCCCAAACAGCGGGCTTCAGGGGACTACTCCGGTACCTGTTTGTTTACAACCAAAAAGCAAGGCCAGGAGCCGCCAATAGCTTCTTGCTCCTGGTAGCGATGCCAGGAGCCCCTAGTAGCGTCCTTGCTCCTAGTAGTAGGGCGAGGAGCCCCTAGTAGCGTCCTTGCTCCTAGTAGCTGAATGGCTTCGGATGTTGTTGGAATCGTTTGGTACCAGAGCCTCCGACGGCAGGTCCAGTCCTCTCTCCCTTGACTCGCGCCTCGCAGTGGATGGTGTCGCCCGCGCCAAAGCCTTCACCATAGATCTCTCCGTGGCCTTTAGTGACCTCTGTGGCAGGGCGCTCGCGAAACATGAGAAGAAGTGTGTTGAAGGAAACCCACCTCATGTTGTGCTTGTATTCTCTCTCTCTCTCTCTCTGCCTGTGCGGATAGAAAACTGTTTGAGATCTTTGGGTGGGTTTGGTGCACGCGAAACTACCATCACTGACAGGGTACTTGGATGCATAGATATTTGCATAGCGTGCATTTTCCCAAGACTCAAACGATCTGAATGATTAGTGCAAACATGCTTGGGTCTCCCACAGGGCGGAGGCCCCAAATCCACTTGAAGAAGCCCTTTAAAAGCGCCACCTTGTGCCTTTTGGATGTGCTTGACGCACCCCAAAAAGAACCATGTCCAATGTCATTTAATGTAGACTCTTGGTTAATATATATATATGAAAAGGACTTCCAATTCAAAAGGCTGGGGTTGAGACATTCGTTTCTGGCATCTCGCCTTTGTACCTGGTGTGTACATATGTGGTAGTTTGACATCGGTTCCTCAATTTCACTTACTCTACTCATACCCGCCGTAATACACGGCAAGGGGTGATGTTATCAGCGTCCCCGGACGCTTCAGTGTGCGCATTCCAAAGGCTGGGGTTATGCATCAAGTGTGCGTCCCCAAAAAATCACATCTCCAGATCTGTCGATCTGGAGATAGGTTGGATCCCTCCATCCGACTGAGCCTTCTGTCCGCTGCTCTCAAAGCCGAAGCCCTCAGCATCTCGACCCACTGGAGCCATCGCCTGAGCCGAGCGACGCCGAGCGCCGAGTGCCGAGAGGAGGTCGGAGGGGCTCCGAGAGGAGGTGGAACCCGGTGCCTGAGGGGGGTGGACTGAGGTGCTGTGAAGGGATGAAGAGCATGATGAAGCAGATTCAGCAGATGCGAAGGGAAGGTGGACCCCAGTTCTGAGAAGCGAAGGGAAGGCGGCCAACTGCACATCGAAGTTGTGATGAAAGTACGCTGCAGCTTTCAAACAGGGGCCGCGAAAAGCGTCGCCGCGAAAAGCGGCGTGGGGATTGAGAAAAGCTGGCCATTGTCCAGCAGGGAACGTGTCAAAACCGGGGGATGATAAACTCGCTGCATGATCTCAGAAGGGGGGGGTACCATATGGTTTTCTATCATACTGGTTTGACTGATTTCTTTTGGGTGCTTGGACACGGAATCCATCGTGCGGCCCTTTCCCCTTCGTGAGATCCATGCGGCTAAAAGCGTTCCAATGGCTGTGGTGGAAGACCAGAAAATAAGACTGCTTGCACTTCAAATGAAACCCAACAAACCAGATAGAAGTTCTCTGTCAACATTGCTGTCTCAGAATACCCGTGCAAGTTCAAATGGGCGGCCAAAAGTACGGTTGCCTTGCCAAGGGTTGAATCTCTAATTGCAACTTGGGCAGAAGCGTTCCATACAACACGTTGGGAAGTGTACACATCTAGAACCCGTCCCGCATGAAACGTCACCAATCTTTGGCATCCGGCAGTCCACACCTCCCAGTCAATCCTTCCAGTGATTATTACATCCGTCAGGAAGGCCGAAGGATGTGGGGGGCCGGGTTGGCGAGGAGAAGAGGAAGAACAACAAATCACCGGAGGAATCACCAGGACTTTGAGGAGGTGTTTCTTGATATTGTGTGATGCCCTTGAAAAACGACCGATGAAGCACCCACTCCTTCCACAATTGACACCCCTCAAACCAAGCGTCCGCCGAAGGCCAAGCCCAGCCCAGGCGCACCGCCTCAGACAGCGAGGCCGTCTGCAAAAGGCAGAAAGACTTGATGAATCCTTCCCAAGAAGATGACCCAAAATCAGTGGAAAAGAGTCCAAGAAGAGTCCCACACCCCAAAAACCAAACGACATGGTCGTTCCAAACAAAAGTTTCCACATCCCGAAACCACCCCAAACCGCCAAACCGCGCTGGTCTGGGTCCTCCACAGTGCCACGCATAATCTCCACGGTGAAGGCGGCCACCTGTTGGTGCGAAACAAAAGAATCTGCAGCCGGACAGAGTGTTTTTTTGCCGCAGATTGTGGGATAAACAATATATGAAGGTATACACACTTGAACCACTCACACACGTGTGCTGGAATAGGCATCGATCTTCTTGTGCAAGCAATTCCAACCTCCTGTAGATGATCACCATTGGAACGCCAAAGTCGCCACTGGTTTTTGTAGAGGAAAAGAGCAATTTTCATATTGGAGCACCCATGAAGAGATAGGACACATCCTGCCCAATGTCTCTTTGGCGGGTGCTTCCAAAGGGGCTGTTCCATTCACATCACAACCAAATCACAGAATCATTGCAAGCAAAAACACAAGCACATGACGGCCGAGTTGGAAAAGTGCAGTGACAGGACAATGTAACTGAGTCCTTAGGTCTCTGAGGTATATAATGCATCAACTATTATGAAAAGAACTTACATAACATTACATAACCATCGCAAGCCAACACATTGAGTTGTGTTTTTTGGGTCCAGAGTGCCCTGCGTCAGGCAAACAAAAGCCGGGAAACCCCACCCCCCAGGTGTAAAATCTGATCACATGGCTTCCCAGTCAGAAACTCACCTTAGACCTTTCTTGGTCGTTGCCACTATTACTTGCAAAGAACGTGCTCTGACTGGCGGGTTTAAACTTTAAACAAAACAAACTCTGCCTCTGTATCTGGGGAAATGATTTGCCAACCAACATGCCTCACTGGTTTCGTGCTTGAGCGCTTTGCATTGGAACCACAGTGTTCGGTGCTGGCAAACGTTGAGCTCTGCGAGGACGCTGCTGGGGACAGCCTCACCCTGCTTCACAGGCACATGAAGAGGAACTCCCACCTGGCGAGCGGTTGAACGGAGAAGTCAAACCAATTCAGGGATCCTCCCCCCAAACCTAAAAGTTTTTGTCAATGGTTTCTCAGAGCATTTCCCTGAAGACAAGTTATGTTTCTTTCACAAATATTCACAGCAATGACATCCTGAATGACAACCCGGGTGCCCAGCTCAGGTGGGTCTTATCCTGTTGATGAACTTTTGCACGAAAACACGGCCACAGGCGGCTTTGCCAGCCAGGCTTTGCCAGCCAGGGCTCGCCCCTGCTTGAACTTGGTCTTTTCACCACCTTGAATGGTGTCATCTCAATTCGGGGGGGCGATTCTGTGAAGACCTCTACCGTCATATTTGCCTGCCTTGTTAAAGGGGTGGTCCTTTACATGAGAGCATCCTGTCTTCGAGCCGGTCTTCGGGTCCTTCGGTGGTCATGACTTCAGCGAACGAAGCGGAGATGATCATCGTGAGACACGGGTGATCAGCGAAAAGGCTCTATTATTAAACGCACCCTCCCGTATCGTGTGGTGTTCATGGCAGACTTCAAGCCTAATGAACTCTACTAAGAGGATCGACAGTAGGATCGACACCGATGTCCAAACCGAACATCCTCCACTCAGATAGCCCGAGCCAAGAGAAACTGGATCATTTCAAGGAGCTGGTTAGTCCTTTGGAGGACCCACGGTTGGTTTTCGCTTTGACCGCAGCAACTCTGCTTTCCGACCAACCAGGGACAGGCTGACAGGTGAATACTGTAACATGTTGGAGCCAAGTTGTTGGGTGCGATCCGTGCGACATGGTGCTGACCTTCTCCCGGAGCCTCACGTCACACGAACCTGCCGATTAAAATCCAAGTATCGATTCTACCCAAAGGCTCATGGACCCTCAAACTGCCACATGTTTGAGGTCCAAAACCCTGGCTGTGAGGGTCAAAGCCCTAGCGAACTGAGGGCCAAATGAGCCTTTGGAAAGCTTCTCAGCCCGCCGATGCGTCGCCGATGCGTCTGGGCTGCCCGCACCCAGCGCGGCGCAGCACTCTCAGCCAGCACTTGGTCAGAGCTCACAGTGACTGGGCCGTCACCTGCACGTCATGAAGCAAAGACAACTCAGTGACTGGGGTCACCGATCCACGGTCAGGGGCTGTTCCCGGAAGAATGAATTGGTCACAGTGCATAGATGTACATGGCACTGTGCACGGCAAAACATGCCTCGACTGGAAGCTTCGACTGTCTCGCAACACGTCGACTCTCGGTCGACTCCCTCAAATCCACGGATGCAACGACTGCAGAGTTGGATACCTCTGGAAGACCCACATGAAACCTGACCAAACAACCGGGAATTCGCTGGAGGAACATGGAAGACCCCAGTCTGGTCGCGTGCGTCGCCCGGTTGACCGCAAGAAGACGTCGGTCCACTGGACTACCGTTGGACCGATGAAAGGACTGGACACCACTGGGAGACTCAGTCGGGACCCTGGCGCTGGGAAGAGTACAAGTAAGGCCTAATTTCTGGTGCCAATTCCAATGTAGGCTGTTGACAGCTAACCCACTTTCTTGTCGCACAAGGAGTGGATTGAAGCACCCCCTCAGTGCTTCGCAAAACAACACCAGAACCTCGGCGGCATGTGTTCAGACTTGGCTGACAACTCATGGAGTAAGCTGACAACACAGAGCGAACGGGTTCCACTATTCCGGGAGAAAGCTCTGCATTCCAACGGCCCCGACATCTCTCTTGGTTGAACACTCCGAAGGGCGCAGAGGCATTGGCACCTGGGTCGAACGGTGGTTCAGTTGCAGGTAGTGTGTGAGCTCGCATGCGCGGTGTTTCTGCTGGCTGAACATGCAAGGAATTGACCCCCAATTGTTGCACCCTCACACTAGGTATCACATTCACAGGTGTGTCGTTTATGTTTGATATACCAGGACCCTCCAAGCCCTGTTTAGAAGCCTATAGGTAGTGTGGGGTAGTTCAGCCAGGACACCCCGACAGGAGGGTTCTGGTATGTTTGCTATCGTAGGTGTGGGAAGAAGTGATGAGAGAAACGTTAACTTCATTGATCGACCTGGTTGGTAAAAAAAGCACCAAGAGTTGGTACACGAGCATGATGAACAGAAGATGTAAAAAAGTACCCCCAAACATCTTCAGGCAATACGGAAATACCATGAAATACCTATGTTCTGATTCCATCTGATTCTCCTAGTGCTCTGGGACACCCCAGCTTTTGGCATCCTTCTCCTGACACAAGAGTCATGGCAGAAACGGTGGTCGTCACATCTGCCGATACTGCTGACTCACCTGTTTGTTTGTTTTTCTTTTGTGGGTCAAGCATCACCGCCATCATGAATATGATATGTTCCAACATCATCCCTGTTGGAGGCCATCGCTACTAGGTTGGAGGCCATCGCGAATCATGAATCCAATATGTTCCAACATCATCCCTGTTTTGCCCCGTTTCACTGTTTCTTTGAGTCTTTGAGTTCAAAAGTTCGTTCTTTTTTCTACGGTCAACGCACCCTCGCACCCTTTCAGTACTCCGTGGAAGCCAACAAGGTGCCCGCCTGTACAACATTTGTGTGTGTTTGTTTGTTTTTTTTTTTAATTGCATAATATATAGCATAATATTGAGCACACCCACTGCAACAGCACCAAACAATAAGCTGCATTGCCCCCACCACCTGCCAGTGTTGCTTGCCACAAGCTGCGCAAAACACCCGTTTGAGGTGATCACCGCAAAAATAGCGAATACATGCGAATACCCATCCAAAGCCAAAAAAAATATCTGGACCGTTCATTCTTGCCAACAGATGCTGCTTCGTTCATGCTGGTTCAGCTCCTATGACAGCCTCCCCTTCTTCTCCTCGGCTTCCGCAGCCCAGAATGCCTCCTGCATGAAAACGGCTCAAAGGGCAAAGGATATATGTGTCGGTTGGTCAACACAGGGCGCAAACACCCCCCGTGTTGCAGCTCTGCCCGGCCTCACTAGAGTGCCTCTTGTTTGTTTCTGATGGCAGGAGGAAGAATATGTTTGGCAACCAAAAGTCCAACCTTCGTGATTAGATGTTATTGATTAGTCTTCATGATTCCCAGTGGCGCAAAAATGCATCCTGGTGGTCTGTCCCCATTCGCACCCACATCATGTTCAACAAATGACAATCAGCTTCGCAGTCCATGCTTTGAACTTGGTCCCTGAAAGGTGGGTTCCCCACAAGGATGAACATGCACAGATGCACCCTGGACCTGTGCGAGTGAGTTCCGGGCACCAAAAAATGTGCCCCAAAAAATCATGTTGCACATCAACATGCTCCCAAACATCAAATCTTGCAGGCACTGTCTGTTGTTGTTAAATGAATTTGCTAAGGTTCTTTGTTTGTCTTTCCTGCAGGATCTCGTGCTGTGTCCCTTCCAGATCTCCTGAAAGCCCTTTTGCTTCTTCTTGAAGAGCCGCATCAGCTCCTAGGATTTGTGAAGGCTGATGCTCCGTGAGAAACCGGCGTCAAAAGAAGTGTGTCGACTAGTTTGACTGCACAAGTGTGGTTGTTTTGGTGCAAATCATATCATAGCATCATGAGCCAGCCGCGGGACCAAAGCAATTGAAGAACTAGAGACTTTTGTTTGTAGAGCTTGCTAGAGCGGGTGAGCGTGGGTCCAAAATCAACAACCAGAAGCTTAAGCAAAAAAACAAACATCATCATCATCATCATCATCATCATCATCATCATCATCATCATCA